AACGTTAGGAAAAGAGCTGCCACAAATTGCAGCCTTGTTTACAGGAGACGGCATCCAGGCAAAATAAAGTAGCTTTCAGCACTGCAGAGGGTGTGAAATACGGTTTGTGTGGGGAGAAATCTTAACCAAACTGGATCCCAACCGGTGGTAGCAACTCCTGAGAAGTCTAGTAGTAGTAGTCTGTCCGCGAGGGCTTTTTTAAAAGTGGAAATTTTGTATGGTGCCACCGAAAATGGAGGTTCCTCCGCAACTGTCTGACAGGGCGGTGAGCCAAGGTGACTCCTCCAAGATGAGGCTTTTCTTCTGTAACCAAACCTTTAGGAAAAGGGAGCCCCTGCCCTAGTCTTGCTGACAGTATCTCTGCTCTTCTTCGGCTGCTTTGATTCACCAGTTCCTTTAGGTAAGGTACAAATTGGAAAAGCAAATTGGAGAACAGCAACTCTGGCCGCTTTTCCCCCTGGTGGATACGCTGGAGGGAAGTTTGGACACGGCTGCTCGACCCTGGGTGAACAGTCTGCAAAAAGGGTTCAGGAGCTCCCCCGGCCCGGCCCTTCTCACGCTCGTGGGTAGACGCTGGTTTTTCTCTGCCTTCCCAGCACGGGCGTTGGGCGAGCGCTAACCCCCTTCGCTGGCGGTGCACCGGGCTTGTTCCCAACCTGTCACGTAAAAAACCAGTAACTGGGAATCTCCCTCCGGCAGCTGGAGGCGGAGCGGAGCTGCTGGGGAAGCGTGTCTTGGTGCCGTCCTTGCTAGAGTGACCTTTGCTTTGACGTACTCACTGAAGCGTTCCCTTCGCCTTCTGCTTCCCGGGTCAAAGCAGGCAAGCTGAGTTGTGGTTCCTCTGAGCCTGGGTTGAGGTGCTTCTCCTTCCTGTTGCCTCCCGTGCCAGACGACCTCTGAAACCCGCCCGCTCCCACCTGCATCCCCTCTGACTTGCGTCTCCTTCTTCCCCGCAGGTCTGTGCAGACTTTTGCAGACAAATCAAAACAAGAAGCTCTTAAAAACGACCTGGTGGAGGCTTTGAAGAGAAAGCAGCAAAGTTAAAATACTCTTCATGCTAACAAGACATGCCATGCACTCGTTAGATTCCTTTCTTAGAAAACTCATCCCCCCCTTGCCCTTTTCTGTTCCGTCACGTCACAATTTGCATTCGATACTATCCATGCAACGCCATCTTCTCCCCATGAATAAAGCCGTACAAACTTTTTCAGTCTCTGAGGCCTACTTTGCACCACGTTTTACTATTGAAACCTTAGGCTACGTTTCTGTAGGAGTCCATGTATTTTTTTCCCCCTCCCCTCTCTTCCACCCTCCCCCATTTATACGCATAAACATGGATCATTGTTTGTCTGTTCCTCCCCACCCCCTCCTGCCTTTTGTTACATTGGTGTAAAAAATGTAAAACAAAAATTTATTAAATACTGTGGTGTGTGAAAGAGGAAGAACTGGAAAAAAAAAAAAAATCTATTCCACGTATGTTTGGGGGCTGGGCACAGGGGCTGGCTGGCGGGAGGGAGGGAAGAGAGGGTGTTCCTCGGTGTTGTACTATACTGACTAAACCAGAGTTGCAAGGAGACGTCGATTAGGAGACCTGCTGAAAGTTCTGCTCTTCTATAGCCTGGTTCCAAGGCGCTTTTCTGTCAATTTTTATGGAATGCAAAAGGGGTTTTTGTTTTGATTTTGTTTTTTGTAAAGCTTAAATTGAATCTACATCTGATACTTGAGCCTCCATACTAAAAAAAGAAAAAAAAAAAAAAAAAGGAAAAAAAAAGAAAAAAAAAAGACTAAAACGAAAAATAAAAAATAAAAAAAAATCCCAGGAAGCAGCGTGTGCGCTTGGTGTCCTTCTTATCTCCCTTTCCTTCCTTCCTTGCAGCACGACCCGGGGCTCGTGCTGGGAACGCTTTCCTCCCTGGGAGCAGTCGCTCTGGCTGTAGGGCTTGAACCCGCCGGCAATCCCGCCGCCCGCTGGGTCGTGGGGCCGCCGAAGGCAAGAAAGCTTTTTGAATGTTCTTTTTTCTTGCGTCCAGATGAGCTGAAACTCGGTTGTTGTAAAGAGGGCGGGACGGACGGCTGCTCTGCGCCCCGGGAGCGGCCCTTCGGCACCAGCGCGCTCTACTCCAGCGCCGGGGGCCGGGATGGACGCTTCGGGCACCCAGGGACGGGTGTTATTTAGGGGAGGAGGATCAGCCCGGCTCTGCTGGGCGCGTTAAACCCAGCAGGGGGGAACCTGCGTGTCGAAACGCCGCGGGGGGCGGAGGGGAGGCGTGGCGGTTCCTTGGCGGTTGGAGGTGGGTGGCTCCAACCGGCGATGCTCGCCCCAAAAAAAGCTCCTGTGGGATTTGTGAGCCTCGTCTAGACTTTTTTGGTTTCCCCTGGTTTTAAATCCTTGGCGGTCAGAGGGACCTTGCCCAGGGTCAGGTCCGCTCCCTCCTCCAACGGGCTTCGGTTGTGACGAACACGGTCCGGGCGCAGTCGAGAACGCAAATCCCTGCTGGGCTCTTCCTGCGCCTGCCTGCCGGGATCGGGGGGAATCTATGCCAGTCCAGGCTGCTGGCCGTTCCTATCGATTACCCCGCTCTGATTTTGCTTTTCTGATGTGACCTCTTGCACATCCAGACACCTGCAGGGGACGACGGTCCCGTGCCGGAGCATTTACCCTCCGGTCCGTAACGCGGCTCCGAAGGGGCGCAGGCTGGGGAATGGCGCGTGCGCTCGCCGAAAGCTGGGATCCCCAGGGGGAACACGCTGAGATTTGGCCGTTGCCTCTTGGTTCTGGCTGAGGAAGAGCCTTTTTCTGAAGTTGGAGATGAGTTTGTGTGAACTCTTGAAGCTCGGAAAGGAGCGTGGTAGCCCAGGAGCGGGGAGACTCGTGGTTCCTCTTGCCTGTTTCCAATTGTCCCGTGCTGATGTTTTTTGGGGGGGGTTGTTTTCCTTCTCTAAAGCCATCTCTGTGCCCGTGAGCCAAAGTGGAAGTGTCTCATCTCAGATAAACTTCACGGGTAACGCTTGCCTCGGCAACATCGGAAATCGCAGGCTCCTTTGGGGACGGGGCTGCGTTACGGTCTCAGAGGGACGAGAACCTCAGCCAGAGCCTCTGCGACACCGATTTCCATCCACCGCCACCCTGGTGGCTGCTGGCATGTAAATATATGGATATTTATTTCTTTTTTTACCTCCTTATATTAAAGGTTTTAGAACCTGGCTTTAAGAAGAGCTGGTGGCAACTATCTACCGTCATGAACCTTCGTTTCCGCCAGGTAGGTGTGCCCGATCCCATCCTATCCCCCTGCGTAGGTCGGCTTAGTAAATCCAGCTCTCGGCAAACCAACCTGCTTCCCAGCACTCCAGGGCTGAGCCAGCACACGTGAGCCCAGGTTAAGAACCACTCCTGTCACAAAACCAAGCCCCGGGGTCTCTATCTGTAATAAAGAGGTGCTGAGGTCTCACGAAGCTGCGCTTTCTGTCTTTCCAGGAATCTGCTCGTGGGTTGTATTGGTACCGGATCTGAATTGTTTTTCTGCAATTTCTAGGGAGACAGCAGAGGAAATCCTGCTGGCTCGAGGATGGGGAAGAGGGGAGCGGCCCCATTGACCACGAGAATTGTGAATTAATGGAGTGAAAAAGGCATCAGCTTTGTTGAATGGAGTCAAAGAGCCTGAAAAAATAACTTTTCTTTCTGAAACAAGGTTAAATGTCATGGGACTGGCTGAGGAATTGTGAAATATTGATCATCGAGCTCAGCCTAGAAGGGGAGCGGAGCGGGGTGCTGCGTGGGGGGGCAGCAGGGAAGCGCTGGGTGTCAGGAAAGTAGCTGGGGGGAGAAAAAGGGAGCAAAAAGAAGAGCCAAGAGTGACTGAAAAGGAAAGTTCTTGGGTTAAAAAGTTGTGTTAGCTTTTCTTGAAGGGCCTACAAGCTTCAGTTGGTTTCTCCTCTTGTTGCCCGGTGAGATTGAGCTGCTCCTCCCCAGCAGAAGTAGCTCGGCACATGGGAGCTGAGGCGCCGGCTCGTGGCTACGCCGCCGCTCTCTGCCCGCCCAAATGCTGCTGCTTCCAGTTCTGTGGTCAAGGAGCCACCGTGCTGGTGGGCAGGGCCCTGAGAGGGGGATAAATGTATCAGTGTGGGGGATAAATGCATCAGTGTTGGGGATAAAGTCATCAAGTTGGGGATAAATTCATCAATGAGAGAGGGCAGGATGGAAGACCTGACGGAGCAGAGTGCCAGCATGTTCTGCCTGGGTAAGCACCTCCGCAGTTAACCAGAAAGTGATGGAGCAACTCCCCCCCAGAAATCCACGCAGTTAAAACCTGGGTGAGGCAAAAAAAATGAGAAGTCAGAGAAATGGGGACTGTGAGATGCATTGAGAAAGAGGCAGGAGCTGCCAGAGGAACCAGCAAAACACAACAGGAGGCACGTGGGGCAAGGACTGGTTTTATAGAGGTGTGGGCCGTGCTCGTTAGAACAGGTCTGTGCAGCCTGAAACTCTTTGGTTACACTGCTCCTTCCTTCTGAACTGGTCCCAGCCACGGCCGTATCTTCCAGAAGGAGCTCAGTGGTGGAGCCACGAGGCCCACAGAGGGAAGGGGTGCTCGTGTTTGTGACAGGTCGGTCATCTCTGTCCCCTCCCCGCAGCCCCTTAGGCTCTTCCCACGTTTGCCAGTACCAAGGAAGCTCCAGATGGCCCTTGAGAGACAGCAGTAAAGCAGAAGTGACCACGCTCGGCCGTGGGGCCTAAAGGCAGCAAAGACCAACCTTTTGAGGTATCCAAAAATTCCCTGTTTATCCCGACAGCATCATTGGTATCAAAGAGGCACGAGGCCTCTCGGCAGCATCCTCTGCCACCTGGCTGGGCTTAGTGTCTTAGCAGCACAACATGTCAGCCCCTGGCTCAGGTCCTCTTCTCCCAAGAGCCACCAGGATGGAGGGGCCGGTTTGCCCGGCGTGAAGGCCAGCTTTCTCCTCTGCATCATCCTGTTCTCGCTCCGGGGCAGGTCCCTTCGTCAGCTTTCCAAGCTGTCCCCCTGCTCGCTGAGAAGAGCATCCCTCTCTTCGCGGGTACCGGGTCTTCCTCCCCTCCGATAGGCGAGGAACTGGAAGGAGATCTGAGAAGAGGTTAAGGCTCTTCACGCAAGGGTGGATCTAAGCGACGCGTTGGGTCTCACCACCCGAAAAAAGGCTGTTTGTGCCAGGAGAGGCAGAAACAGGACAAGGAGCTTAATGCAAACGAGGGGCTGAAGCATTCAGCTATTGCAACACCATAAATTACTCACCAGCACGCGGGTGAGCAAGCACAGCTCAAAAGTGACCTCTGAGCAGCGTCATCCCACCCGCTCCTGCCTGCCCCGAGCCGGGATCGCTCCCTTGCCGGCGGAGCGCGATCCCGGAGGGAGGCGTTGGCAGGGAAAGGATACGACCACGTCGAGGGAAAGGACGCCCAAGCTGCCCACCAGCCAGGGGAGGTGGTGCAGGACGTAGCTGCCTTCTCCTTGCCCCGGCTCGGGGTTCTTCAGGAGGACGCTGAGGCCGTAGAGCGAGTTCCCCAGCATCACCAGAGCAAAGAGGGAGTAGGAGACCCCGATGGTGGATTTCCTCTTGTACTGGAAGAAGAGGAAGGAGCTTGGTGCGGCCCTCCGAAATCTCACTAGAAAGTAGTATTAATCACCCTCCCCCCCCAAAAAAAAGAAGAAAAAATGTGACTCAATGCCAAGAGGCTTTTAGTTCCTCTTTTGCTTGTCCATGAAGACAAAATGAAAGCCCCACCCTCAAAATATTGGTATGTGAAAGGGAGGGGAGCAAAATTAATCCCGTTTCAGAGCAGAAATACAGAAAAATAGTCCCTTATGAAACGATCAGAGACGGGGACCTGGGATCGCTGAGCAAAAAGGAAAGATGATCCCACCGCCCCTCTTAATCTGAAACCTCAGGACCCCAGGGGGTGCCCAGGACCGGGCTGCTGTCCTGCCCCACTCACGGTGCGGCACTTACGTTCGTGTAGATCTGGGGGACTCGGGAGCACAGGTACAGCACGGAGGAGACGGAGCCGACGGCGAAGCCGATGATCTCGTTCCTGGTGAAAGGCTGCAAGGCAAGGGGTGGGGGCTGTGTGTTCAGAGACGCGCTTACCACCACACCACGGCTCCGTCCGAGGCGGCAGCGGGGCCAAAACCCAGCCTTTGATCTCCCACCTGCCCCTCGCCCCCCTGAGCATTAAGTGGGGTCACACCGATCCAGCAGGACATGCCCACCCCACCGGGTGCTTTAACTTCTCTCCCCCCCATCACCCGGATTTAGGAACCAGCTCACCTTCGACCCAAGCTCATCCACGCGAGCGGCCAGCAGAGACCTCCCGCTAAACGTCACCGGGTCCTGCGCCACGGCAGCACCTCTGCCCAGGAAGGAGACGGTCGACACCGTCCCCAGGGAAAGGCAGACGAAGGCTGCGTTGATCGGGGCAGCGACTGCAGGGAATCAAGCAGAGGCCGGTTAGGGAGGGCTCCTCCATCAGCCACCAGTGCAGCCCAGCAGCCGTGGTGGGGGCCAGGACCCCCTCCCGGTAACGAGACCCTCAAGCTCTCTCTTATCTCTGCGGCGGCACGGCCAGCACCGAGTCACTCGGGCAATAGCTGCCGCGGGCGTTTTATCTCGCAGCGATACGGGCAATTTGTAAGTTATCAGGGAGGAAACTGCTCCTATCTCAGCAGACCGAAAGCATTTGAGTTTCTTTGGGTTTAGGGCTCTTAAGAATCATCCTCCCTCCCCCCGCTGTCTAAAAGCTTTTCCCTGTCTTAACTCACAACGGTGCGTGTTCAAGTCCCTGCCACAGCAAGCCCGGCTTCGACAGCAGGACTTGTATTCTGTAAACAAGCTCTCCAGCATTAACAAAACTACAGAGCTGATGGGCCAAGTGTCACTTGGTTTAATAAGTTCAAATGGTTTTGATAAGTTAAACAGTTCCCGAGGTCCCAAGGGAAGCCTGTGTGTGGTCAGAAAGCTGCAATGCTAAAACGTGGGTTTTCTCTTGCTGTTTAAGCCTTGCAAGAACTGTTCAGGTTCCCGTTTTACTCCATTTGAACAGGGAGGAACTTCTCCACCATGCCAAGGCTGCCATTAATTGCAAGAGGAGTCCTGTCCCTGAAACAGCCAGAAAATTTCACCCTGTCCTGCTTTGGGCTAAACCAGAACTAATTCTGGTTTAGTGCTTTAACTTTTCAGTTCAGTCTCCTCTAACGAACGGCACTTTCTGAAACAGCAGCATGTTTTTCCAGACAGTGACTGCTCCCAGCAGTGACAAGGCCTGATGGTTACAGTCAGTACCAAGGGATGGGATGCAGAGAGGCCCTTGCTTATACTTGTTCTTGTAGCGACCACGGTCACTGCTAAATCTTGTACCCCGTGTTGGGGTGCGGGAGTGAAAAGGGTCACAGGCACAAAAAAGGGTCACCCCTGCAGGGAGGAGCGAAC